TGTGTATTACATAACTTCTGCATTCACCTGTCAGTCATCTGGCTGCTATAGCCAGAGAGAAGAAGCTTATGAAGCTGAAAATGACAATTGCGCTACATACATGTTACATATCGTTGCGAACGTCAGAGTGACAGCAATAATTTTAGGGCCATCAATCACTGATAACACTAAACTGATGAGCGGTAAAAGCTTTTAAAGCGTCGCCTATTGCCAATTTTGGGTATTGTAGTTTGAGGTTTCGCGCGTGCGCACTATTTTAAGGCTTGACATGTTTAGTGTCTATTTACGTGACGTGACCCCGTCTTTTATATTTTAGCAAAAAATTGGGTAATAATAAATGTGTTATATTTAATATAGGGGAAAAAGTACATACGCCCCCTGGGAATAAGCAGTCTCTTGGGCACAGATACCAAATCCAAGGGAGTAGTGGCAAACAGTGCAGTGTTTATTGGTGATATTTACAAGAGTCTCCACAGCTGCTGTACAGGGGTTCACAAGAAAAATAAAACCTACCATATCCCGGCACTAACTTCATAAACAAAAGTATAAGTCCTATACTTAGTCAATTTATTAAGGGCAAGCACAAAAAGTCTCTTTCCATCAATAGTGTAGACTTCTCCTGTTACACTAGAATACTTCCAGCAGCAACATAAAGGACAGTCTTTTGTTCACAAAAGAGCAAACATTCTCATGCACTTTTCATCAGCATATGCAGCATATCAGTAGCTTTCCTCAGCTCAGCTCCAAGCCTCTCATCACACCTCTGTGTGATGCTCACACTGCTCCCCCTCGTGGGTCACTGACTCTCTCAGCAGTGTCCAACAGGTCCCTTGGGTCATCGACCTTCCTGACCTCTCCCAGCCTCCCCTGACTGTTCCACGTGCGTCCAGCACGCACTCGAGTCTGCCTGTGTCCGTGTGCCTCCAGCACACACAACTCCCCTGAGCTCTGGTCCTCCTAATAAGGCTTATCTCAGCTACCTGATCCACCTATACTGGTCATTGGCAACACCTGGACCCGGGACTAGAGATTCCATCCCACTATTGTCCAGAAAACCTGGAAGAAACTGAAAAAACAGTTTCTTCACTGCAAAGGTATTCACATGCTGGAACCTCTCAGCCCCTCTAACTGAGTGTTCTTGGGGACTATGTTGCCAAATTACATCATATATATATATACATATAAACAGTTGTGTGAAAAGGTGTTGGCCCCCTTCCTGATTTTTCATTGTTTTGCACATTTGCCACACTATAATGTTTCAGATCATCAAACAAATTGAAATATTAGTAAAAGATAACACAAGTAAACAAGCAGTTTTTAAAGGAAGGTTTTTATCAGTAAGGGAAAACAAAATCCAAACCCACATGGCCCTGTGTGAAAAAGTGTTTGCCCCCTCTGTTAAAACTTAACTCTGGTTTATTACACCTGAGTTCAATTTCTCTAGCCACACCCAGGCCTGATTACTGCCACACCTGTTCGCAATTAATAATTCCCTGGTTCAGCAATGGCTCCAGCAGTGTAAGGACAGATGATGTGGCCATCCCATAACCGCTGTACCTGGGGTTGAACTTCGTGCCTTTACCTGTGTAAATGGCCGAATTCCAGATGTACCCAGTGGATGACTCGCAGAGCATATAGGATTTGATGCCAAACCGCACTCTTTTGGATGCAATGTACTGTATCCAGCTTAGGCGTCCCTTGTAGGCCATCAAACTTTCATCCACGCTGACGTCCCTTTCTGGCACGTAGGTCCGCTGGAAATTGGTCACAATCATTTGGCATACCTCCCAGATTTTTTTTAGTTTGGGCGCAGGATGCGTGGCCTCATCAAATTCTTCATTGTTCGTGAAGTGGAAATACTTCATGATGAGGGAAAACCGGTATTCTGACATCACGGTGCCAAAAAACGGAGTGGCCAGTAACTTATTGGTGGTCCAGTACCATTTCTGGAGCGGTTTCCCCACCACCCCCTGAAGAATGATGAGTCCCAGAAACTGCCAGATGTCCTCTTTGGTCACCGGTTCCCACTTTCTGCTTCTGGAAAACCTGGCATGCAGCGTAGCGGATTGCTGCTCTTGGTAGCGATTTGTCTCCGTGACAATTTTTTCAATTACCTCCTCAGTGAGGAATAATTGCAGGTATGCCAGAGGGTTGTCACGCTCAACATCTACCTTCATCCCAGGTGATCCAGTGAACGGGAATCTTGGGGGCGCTACCTGGTCCGTATCGCAGTCAATAGGGCACCAAGTGCGCACATCGCTGAGGTCAGGTGCAGGATCATCGCCGTTGTCACTTGCCAGATCAGTGTCAGACGTGTCAGACGACAAATCTCCCCACGACTCACTATCGCTCACTTCTGCGAGCACCTCCGTGTCGCTGTCACTCAACTGGTCCAAAAACGCTTTTGTAGTAAAGTGGCGCTTTTTTGATGCCATGTTATAAAAATTTTATGAGCACAAATGACAGCACAAATGGCAGTAAAATGGCAGGCAAGGGGCAATGTATAGTTATCAAGTGTCAGATCTGAGGTGATACAGTGTAGTCCTCTCAGATTACACTGTATCAGCTCTTATGTGTGTTTCACTTTTGAATTTGCCGCCCAGTTCCGCTCCCATGCGCCGCTTCTGCTCGCAGGGAACGGAACCAGGAAGTCAGATGCTGGCTGGCGATCATGGCGGAGGACATAGATCATTCTCGCCGGCGATCATAGCGGATGACATCGCTGGATCGCCAGGAGAAGGTAAGAAAACTCCGCTGACAGCTCTGCAATGTTACCCCGAGCGTGACTCGGGGTTACCGCTCCTGGCAGAGAAAATTAACCCCGAGTCACGCTCGGGATTACCGCCAGGGAGGTTAAATAAGACTTGACTGACAAAGTGAAGTAGACCAAAAGATCCTCAAAAGCTACACATCATCCCGATATCCAAAGAAATCCAGGAACAAATGAGAAAGAAAGTAATTGAGATCTATCAGTCTGGAAAAGGATCTAAAGCCATTTCTAAAGCTTTGGGACTCCAGCGAACCACAGTGAGAGCCATTATCCACAAATGGCGAAAACATGGAACAGTGGTGCACCTTCTCAGAAGTGGGCGGCCAACCAAAATTACCCCAAAAGTGCAGCGACGACTCATCCAAGAGTATAAGTATTTTCCTTGTCGCACTCCTTACCGATATGTCCCTTGTAGTGGGGGGTGCTCGCAGTGACTGCGGATGGCACTGCGAATGTCAGCAATGCTAAACCCTGATGAAGGGACCCTGTGCTGTCCCGAAAGCGCTTGTTGGTCATATACAAAAAAAATTAAATAAATGAAGCTTTTGCTATCCTAAAAGGACTGGTGTGCTGGTGAAATTTCTACAATTTTGACTCATGCAAGAGGTCACAAAAGACCCCACAACAACATCCAAAGAACTGCAGGCCTCACTTGCCTCAGTTCAGGTCAGTGTTCATGACTCCACCATAAGAAAGAGACTGGGCAAAAATGGCCTGCATGGCAGAGTTCCAAGACGAAAACCGCTGCTGAGCAAAAGAACATAAAAGCTCGTCTCCGTTTGCCAGAAAACATCTCGATGATCCCCAAGACTTTTGGGGAAATACTTTGTGGACTGAAAAGTTGAACTTTTTGGAAGGTGTGTCCCATTACATCTGGCGTAAGAGTAACACCGCATTTAAGAAAAAGAACATCATACCAACAGTAAAATATGGTGGTGGTAGTGTGATGGTCTGGGACTGTTTTGCTGCTTTAGGACCTGGAAGACTTGCTGTGATAAATGGAACCATGAATTCTGCTGTCTACCAAAAAATCCTGAAGGATAATGTGTGGCCATCTGTTCGTGACCTCAAGCTGAAGCCAACTTGGGCTCTGCAGCAGGACAATGATCCAAAACACACCAGCAAGTCCACCTCTGAATGGCTGAAGAAAAACAAAATGAAGACTTTGGAGTGGCCTAGTCAAAGTCCACACGAGGAGTCTCTTAAACTGTTCCAGAGCTGCTTTTCCCGGCCGGATTTTTTATATTGCACATGTGAGTTACTACTTTTTTAATAAATCTGAATGCTTTTATTTACTGCACCATGAGGGCTCTTTCTTTTTCTAATTCCTAAACACCGTGGGGCTCCTGAGAGAAGGTTCGCTGACAGCGCACTTAGGAGAATTCATCACTGTGCCTGTAAGACACCTCCAGCACTGCAAGGAAAAAAACTCTCTTCCTGCCGGGTCTCAAAGCGGGAATAACCGTGTTCAAATTGGAGCAGGACCGCAGACCAAAGTGCCGCTAACCTAAAAAGCCGTCTACTCACTACATTCTGGTGAGTACCCATCCATAAGGGGGGCTGTCGGACTACAACTGAAATAAATCAACAATTATTTGCCTTGTGTTTTTCTCCCCCGGCTTTTAAATCATCATCTGAACACTGTTTTTTCGTCGATCTGATATCTTCACTGAAAGAGTGCTACTTGTAGATCAGCCTATAAATTGTTATATATTGCTGATTGACTTTGAAAGGCTACCACGATCTTTGTTAAATATTACTGACTGATGACCTAATGTAACACTTTATCATTTTTGTTTTACATTTGTTACTATCACTAGTTCTTCACGACCATTCACCTATGTGTTACCTTTTGGATCTTTGTTTTTTTCGTTTCTCACAGTTTTTTTGATACAATTTTATTTAAGACATTTATTGATACTTATAATAATTTTAACCATATTATAGGCTGAGGTTAAAATACGCAGCCCCTTTCCACTTACTATCTTCACCTGATCACTCGATTTTTCACTTGAATACTTGATTGTATTCAATATTATTATCTTCACAGTTTACACCTTTAGCACTTTGATACAATCTTTTTCGGTTAATTTAAGGAGTTTTTCTTCTTTTTTCTTAGCTGCTTTAGGCTTTCATATATTTTAGTTAGTCCAAGAAGCGCAGATTATTTATTTTACATTTATGTTATGAGTTCCATAAATGAATATTGGTACAGAGGTTTTTTTGTCACCTGGGTGTGTGCTGTGCAGGCATATCGCCGTCTCACTCCTAAATCACATGTTGTATCTTCCAAGCAGAAGCTGGCCTTGTGTCCCTCTGCCATCTTACGATTGGTCGCAGAATGCAGAAGGTCATAGTGACTAAATGAATCCATGCTGTGATAATGCCTTTGAATGGAAATATGAGGGAGGATAAGTGCATAGTAACCTTAATAAAGAGGGTGATAATGTAATAAAAAGCAATCATTACTCACTGGTGGCAACTGTGCCATTCCCAGGTATGCCTTGGTTTCACTGGTAAAAAGTCTGCTGTGCCATGATTTTTAACCCTTTGTGGAAAGCGCAGAAGAACCCGGAAGCTTATATCTGAGATGTCAGGGGAGTAGGCTGACCTAGAAAACAGAGAAAAATATTTAAAGCCAATTGGGTCCAAGAAAAATGTGATGGAGTATGCAATAGCAGTAAATGAAATGCAAGGGAGACAAAGAGAGACCAATTCTTTATAGGAACCATGCACAACGGCTGTGGCATCAACTAACAAACAAACAAACAGAACAAAGCTGCTTTGGACAATTAAAGAAGGTTTAAAGTGTGCTACATTAAGGACAATAATGGAGCTGGATTCTATAGTGCTATCTTGTTTCTGTTGTTCTGATAGAGAAGGGTACATGAGTGCTTCCAATCTCTGACTGGAAGTGTGTTATTGGCAGAATCACCAGGGGGAAAAAAGAGAAAGAAAAACTTGAAAAAAACAAACTAACAGAGCTGGTAAGGGCTGGTAAGCTTCAATATACAGTATAACATTTTTGTGTTTGGGTTTAGATACACTTTAAGTATTCACAAAATAGATGCAGACATATAAGGTTATATGATCTGGGATTATTGTTCCTAGCTTCTTCCTAAAACATACTACAATTTATTCAGAAAAGAGAAGATTTTAATCTGAATTAAACTGTCTAAAATTCTTGTGATGGATATAGTTCACCCTGAAGGGATTTAATTGTTCCAGCAAAATTGGACATTCATATTAAATTATTGATTTTTAACAAAATATTAATCCAGTGAACATCCTGTTTGAAGTTGTAGGATCAGCATCATCACTCGTTAAACCATATTTGTTAAATAGTGTGTAACATCTACCATTAATTAGTCCAACTTCTAAAAGTATGATCAAATGCAAATATTACTGACTGAATATACTATTTTAAATAGTCTCTATAGTTGTATAGCCTTAAAGCCTATCTCTGGGCAAAGAAAATACCCTTGCAGTGGGGCTATCCCGCACTGCAAGAGTTAATAGATTTTTGTTTAGGGGGATTCTGTAAAGCAGTTTTATTTACCTGATCCCTGCTTCCCCATTGGTGAGCGCTCACCTCTCTCCCCTCCCCTCCACTCTGACCCGTGGACTGTCCCTCAGCAACCGTACATATAATGTAGGGCTATGGACCCTGCATTAGACGTGATGACTTCAGCAGGCTTCCAAAAGCCGAAAGGCTTCCAATAGCCGAAACGAAAGGGGGAACAGGGATCCCAGGCGGCTGACACAGCTCGGCCTCTGGGCAGCAGGGAATATTGGGACGGCACAGCCTGCAGCTTCTCCTCGGTTTTCTGCTGCTCTCCCCGCCTGTATGGGCTGAGGCAGCGGGGATCGGAGGAGAAAATGTCTGCTGGCTGTGAGGCCGGGGAGGGAGCGATGCCTGCTGTAAGGATGGCCAAACCTGAGGAGAGAGGAGGAGAGCGGAGCCCCTGTCATCCTGTCGGTTACAGGATGACATCGCCTCTGTGCGTGGCCGAGTGGAGGATCTGTAAATATCTGTGATGCTCTGTGTGCAGCACAAACACTGTAGTGATCGCTGATCACTCCAGTGTTAGTACTACGTTGTTTACTATGTGTCCCCAGTTATGAATGAACAGGAAGTGCTTTACATCACTTCCTGTTCATTCATGACTTTCCGAATGGGCAGAAGCACTCAGTACAGAGGATTCTACCCATTCATAAACTGGTTGATAGTAAATAAAAATATCACGAGTTTGTGAATGAATGGGAAGCCTCTGTACTGCGTGCTTTCCATTCATTCAGTGCTGAGGCTGCAGAAAAAGAGGTGAAGGACTCAATTTCTTTTTCTACTTCAAACTGGAAATGTCAGGGATCTGATCAGTAGACCCCTGATTTTTTTTTACCGAAGCCCCCCACCAACAGTAAAAAATAATAATAAAAAAACAAAAGGAACCCACACACACACACACACACACACATACACATACATACACGCACACACATATTATTAGACTTGTGCAAAGACTAAAAATTTGTTTCGGACAAAATGAACGAAAACTAATAACATTTTTATTCGTTTCAGCAAATGAAACAAATTTTTATGCTATTTTGGATCCGGCCACTTCTGCACATGCGCGCTGCCATCCTGGAGGGTGAGCATGTGACGTTGCATGACGCCCCACGTGCACCTAGTCTGGTGATGTCACACACCTGTTAGGATCTAGATATACACCAAGATGTCGGCGCCTATACCAGCATCTGATGTCAACTGACGCCATGCGCCCTGCTTCCAAGATGGGGGCACGAATGTGCAGAACACACTGGTGGGCAATATGGCCACCGTGCTTTCTCAAGCGAATTATAATGTGCCCGAATAAAAAAAATTTGTATATTCGGGCATATAGTAATTAGTAAATTCGGATTCAGATGAACTGACAAATTATCTGAATTTTGTCGATTTGCAGGTTTCTTCCGAATCCAAATTCACATGGCTACATAATATACACATGCAACAGTGTGCATCAAGTGTGCATCACGCACTTTGTTTTAGTAAGCAGTATGCACTATTTAACATGTAGTCTAGGTTTTGTGGTGTTTTTTGTTTTTATTTTTCTAGATGCACTTACTTGAAAAACAGCCGGGATGACATAATGACACATTATTTTTATAGACTCTATTTTAGTTTAAAATGTATTGTTAACCACTTGTTTGGCTACTGTTTTTTTATTTAATAAGAATACTTATATTGTGCTTACAAGTTTAATACCTTTGAATAAAAGTTTTATTTTTATCATACTTTTTAATCTGTTTCTGTTAATCTGTCCTCCTGTGACCTTAAAAAGAACTACAGCCCAAACAGGTTTGACCATAGTTCTCTTTTAAGAGTGTCTCTTTTTTGGAAGGGGCTACCTCTATACATTCTATACTTGTGTTATACCAATATTATATTTGTAACTAAAGATGCTTTGTCATGTAAAACAAGCCAAAGTTTGACTTAATCAAGCAAGTTTATATAGAACATCGCTTCAACTCAGTTCAGTATGATCATTTGTGCATTAAATTAATGTAAAGCCCAGTTTTTGTGATTCTAATGAAAATATTGTGTTTGTACACAGTTTCCTCATTTCCAGTTTAAACCCTAACATGCTTATTTGTGCTAATAAACTATGCATACCTAAATGTTGCAGCATACTTATAGTAATAGTTGTCCAAGTAGTGTCCAGTTTGCATTGGTCAGTGTAAAACGTCTACTGTAACTTGTGGCTACATGTGCCTCATTTTATCATACCTGGCCAAGCAGTTTTCTTCTGCTGCACACCGAAGGCTGTACATAGGTACTCTCTGTATGTAAGTGGCACTTTGGATAAATAGAGCATCAGGAACCAAATCAGGAAGACCTGCAAATTAAAGCTAACATGAAAAATGTACCACAACTTGATTGTAACAATTCTGGTATGGCGGACTCAAAAGCAGTAGAAGAAAGATAACTGACATATGAATACTAATATAATAATTGTAATCAAATTCAATAGGCAGTGTTCCGCCATTTGTTATTACAATTAGAGGTATTTTAGGAAGGGAGCATGCTTCCCCGGGCAACATAGTTGATGTCATAATGATGTCATTATAATGAGGGGGCTCTGATTTGAAGGGAAGGGGCTTAAGATGTGAAGGGGCAGCTCTGATGTGAAATGTATTCATCATTATATAATTTATTTATCTGCAGGCTTGCTAGTATTAAGCTATATCGCCGTTAGCTCTCCATTTGGCAATCATGTACTACATGCATTGCTGTGAAACCACTGCTTCCACTTTAACACAGTGTGAATGTGGTGATTAGCCACCCCCCTTGCCCCACCTCTCACCACGCCCCAATCTCAGGAACACTGACTTTGGAAAGTTCCCAGGTATGCTTGTATCTGTATCTGAAAATTCAGTGACAGCTGCAGCCAAAGTTGCATCTAAAATCAATTTGTACTTACTTAAGTGTATTAGAATGGATATACAGTATAACAACTGGAACTGTTAATAAGAACTGTCAGCCACAATATTTTACACTATCAAAATTCATTATTTTTAATATGGAAAATAACTGAGCAGTAGCGTCCAAAGAAAATGAAAGAGCAAAGAACACACAGTTAATGCTGATATCACTAAATATAGTTCATACCACTTTCTTTTAGCCATGCTGCCTTTTTTATATGCAGCTGTGGTAGGACCCATATACACCAATGATAATTTATACACTGCAGCCAAAAGATGCAAATGCCAAAGGGAATCCAGTACAAAATATATAACTAGAATTTTGTAGGTGGAGTCAAATGCCTTTGTAAATAATAACATAAGAAAGATACAGTGAGTCCCCTACTTAAGAACGAGATCCGTTCCGAGAGAGCGTTCATAAGTCCAATTTGTTGGAAAGTCCAAAAAGTTTAGCCTAGGTACCCAACTAGCACAATTCGCTGTAATGTACTGTACTGTGATAGGTTTAGAATACTTTTATAATATACTTTTATAAAAACGAGCGACGTCTATCATCTTCTCGCCTCGCTCCAGTCTCTCAATTAGTTTTACTTTTGTTTGCATCATTATCGCTTGGCGCTTTTTAGCAGTAGCAGTACAAGTTGCATCACCGCTGCTTTTATGCTTGCTTCCGAACTTACTGGGCTAGATACTTTACTACTGTACTCTGTACAGTACTATACAATAAAGTACACAAAAGCACAGCCACTTGTAGCGGACGTATGTGACAATGTACGCAAGACACATGAACACTTAACGGACATGAAAATGCACGTTCGCATCTTTGAAAGTTTGCAACTTGAAGGTTTGTAAGTAGTTGACTTACTGTATATATGTGGTTCACTAGAGCACTTGTAGGACAACCTGTTCATACAATATAGTATCATTTCTATGCAGATCACCACTACTGTAAATATTCATTAACGAGTGAACCATTCAGCGTGAGTACATGGTATTGAGTTATTACTATATGAGTCCTTTGGAATACGTGGGATCTTATGTCATGATTATTAGACATGTGCATGCACATTGTCCAGCAATGGGGATCCTCATCAATCACAAGGCCCGCTGCTCGATGACCCAATAAGAAAAATAAAAATCCCTGTCACCAACCGCCTCGTCCACACTAACCAAACACCCGCTGATAATGACTAGTGATGGGCTCGGGCGTGTTCGCAGCTGCACGTGCCGAGCCCGCCAGGAAGCTGACAGCGCCAATCAAAGGCACTGGGACATTATCCCGGTCCGCAGCTGCAGAGATCTGGAAATGTCTCAGTGCCTGTGATTGGAGCTGAGCTGCTGTCAGCTTCCTGGCGGGCTCGGCACGTGGAGCTGCAAACACGCCTGAGCCAATCACTACTAATGACAGCTGTGCTTCTGAATGTAAATAAAAGGGGCGGAGCAAGTCCTTGACGTCAATGTCAGGTCAGTGAGCGGCAGGCCTCGTGATTGATGAGGATCTACATTGCTGGACAATGTAATTGATGATGGATTTACATTGTGGGACTTTTTTAAATTTTAATAATAAAGGACTCGCCAAAACTGTGTGGTGTGTTTATGTACTTGATCGTAATGATTATTTGGTGAATGAGTAAGGGTAACAACTAAGGGGGCATCCAGATTCAGAGAAGCCCCCTCTGCCCACATATTCCCACAACCCCAGGGCCAGGGTTGTGGAGGTGAGGTCCTTGTCTTCAGGAGCAAGTGGCAAGGTAAGGTGCAGTAGGGTAGGGGCCGCAAGACTCCCTCCCCCTTTCCTCCTCTGCCAGGCTGCTGCTCGGATCAAGGGCCTGATAAGGGATTTTGGTGGGGACTCCACACTTTTTTTTTGGCATGGGCTCAGGGCTGGATTAACATAGGGGCAGGTGGAGCTCCGCCCCTGCAAATAGGCCCAGCTGGGCCGAGCTGACCAGACTCACGGTCGGGCTGATCCGATGCGAGTCGCGGCCGTCAGGCCCCGACGCGAGTCACGGCTGTCAGAACTTGATGCAAGTTGTGGCTATCACAACCCCAGTTGCGGCCGGCCCGACCAGACCTGGGTCGTGGCCGGGCCGAGTCGACCATGCAGCCGCGGCCCTCTATTCAGAACCAGTTCACAGGTCAAAGATTGCCTTCCAGAGTGTACGGCCCCTTGGAAGCACTGGAACACCAGCCGGCCGGATCCCTGCGTTCAGAGGGGGCATGGCGGTGCATTAAAGATAATGGCAGAGCAGCCACGCCCCCTGCCTGCGGTGTGATCACATAAGTGCCTGGGTTCTGGTCCAGTGCAATCTGCAAAAATGCTGCATGCACTATTTTTGCAGATCGCACTGGACAGGAATGCAGGCACTAATGTGCCATCGATCGCACAGCGGGTGGGGGGCGTGACTTCGGTGCCATTAACTTCAATGCACTGCCACGCCCTCCTGTCCCTAAACGCAGGGAGCCAGCCGTCTTGCATTCCACAGGCTGAACACTCTGGAACAAAGTCTTTGTGGTGTGAACCAGCCCTCAGGCATATCAGAGGGGCCTCTGGTATGCCTGAGCAGAGAGTCACATCTGCTGCGGCTGCAGTCGCCAGTCTCTCTGACCTCCGGGAGCCTGCACTGATCCCCCTCCTTGAGCCCGCACTGTTCCCCCCTGGAGCCCGCTCTGATCCCCCTGGAGCCCGCACTGACCCCCCCCCCGGAGCATGCACTGACCACCTGAGAGCCAGCACTGACATCCTGGAGACCGCACTGACCGCCTGGAGCCCACACTGACCTTCTGGAGCCTGCACTGACCCCCCTGGAGCCCAGACTGACCGCCGGGTGCCCGCACTGACCCCCCTGGAGCCCACACTGACCACCTGAGACCCCGCACTGCCACCTTGAGTCCATACTGACCACCTGGATCCCTCACTGACTGCCTGGATCCCTCACTGACCTTTTGGAGCCCACACTGACCGCCTGGGGCCCTCACTGACCACCTGGGGCCCTCACTGACCACCTGGATCCCACACTGACCACCTGAGAACTTGTACTGACCGCCTGAGCCCGCACTGACCACCTGGAGCCCATACTGACCACCTGAGAGCCTGCACTGACCACCTGAGAGCCCGCACTGACCGCTTGAGCCCCCAGTGGTCCTCATAGAGCCACACTGGCCACCTAAGAACCTGAACAGCCTCCTGAGAGTCTGCACAGCCGCCCCCCCTAAACCCTGCACAGCTCTCCTGAGACCCTGGAGACATCAGGCCACGAACCCGGAGCAACACAGAGTAGCTTCATATAATTTTGCATTGCTGTATAAATTATTGCTGGGATTTGTAGTCCCCTATAGCTGATGGTATTATTCTGCAGTGCTTTACAATGTATTGCTGGGATTTGTAGTCCTCTATAGCTGATGCATTATTCTGCAGTGCTTTACAATGTATTGCTGTGATTTGTAGTCCTCTATAGCTGGTGGTATTCTGCATTGCTCTGTAATGCGTTACTGGGATTTGTAGTCCTTTATAGTTAGTGGTAATATTCTACATTGCTGTATAATCTATTGCTGGAATTTGTAGTCCTCTATAGCTGGTGATAGTCTGAATTTCTGTGTAATGTATTGCTGGGATTTGTAGTCCTCTATAGTTGGTGGTATTCTGCATTGCTGTATAATGTATTGCTAGGATTTCTAGTCTCTTTACAGCTTCAAGTCAATGGCAGATCTACCAGGGTTGCAGCTGCAACCGGGACCTGGCGCTCCACCACTGACTGCAAGCTGTAGAGAGACTACAAATCACAGAAGAGGGGCTCTATGAACGTTGCCATTTCTAAAAAAAGGCCCACCAAAATCCTCAGTACCAGGCCCGTGATACTCTTGCCTTGCATGGGGTCCCCCCTAAAATTCCTACCAGACCTAAAAGGTCTGGTATGAGGTTTTTTCCCCCCAATTCTAACAGACAAAATTTGGATGCATCTGAATTTTCGTTATCAGAAATTTGGATATGTTTGAATTACTTATTTTTCCCATTAAGACATTCGAATGCATCCAAATGTAGGAATTTGACTATCTATCCCTTTGTTTGCAACCTTTTTGGTCATAATACTTCAGATTCTGAATTAACAAGCTTATACATATACACGTATTGAATGTCTATCAACCTGTGACAATCACCAGGTTGTATGTGATGCAATCTATCTATTTAATACAGCTTTTTATTGCCGTCTGTATTCCTATTAGGGAGAAGGAAGGGTTAGAACTTCTGACAATGGTGTTTATTGCTGTCTGTCTTCCTACAGCTGTGAAGCCACATCCCGTTTTATGCACAGGCATAACAGGAACAGGTAGTGAGGGGAAATTTCCCCAGAGGGGTCGCAGGCAGAATGACACAAATATATTAACTCTTCCCCACTCTATTTAAAATAAAATTGGTTTGGTTTAGGCTTTAACTCTCATATATTAACTCTTTCCCACTCCATTTAAAATTCAAAATAAAATTGGTTTGGGTTAGGTTTTAACTCTCTTATAAAACAGAATAAGAACTGGTACTAGGAACTATACTAGAATGTAGAAAAATGGTTGAGAACATACTTTTTACATAAGGTGTGGAATATTACAATTGTAATATTACAATTTAGGAAAAATAGTTTAGGAACAATGCTGAATCGTATTCTATTAATTCCAGTGGGAAGATTTCACTGAAATCCCTTTAGGTTGGATTTACAGTATTGTGTAATGTAAATCACAATACATTGATATTGAATCACACTAGTGTGCAGCAGTGCCATTTATTCTGAATGAATGTGTTGACTTAACACAATGCATGTCAATGCGTTAATGTATTTCTTTTACTGCATCTCTGAGTTTGAATTTATACATTTATACTATGTTCAGCAAATTGAACATTACTTTGTTAATGAAAAATAACATTAAAGCTGAACCCATGGAAAATACTTACCTTATTCCTAGCTTCCGCAGGCTTCCTACCAGCTGCACAAATGGTAGACATGCGATTCGTTTCAGAAAAATTAGTTTTTCGGAAGAATTTACGTTGTATCCGAATTTCCGAATAACAGAAATGACAAATGAAAACGAATCCGAATTTGCGAAAACCAGATTGCGGACGAAATTCGTTAGCGGTAGTCTGTACGAAATTTAGTTTGTGGACGAATTTTTATTTTAGCAAAGTGACATTTAAAAAAAAACAAATGTTTAATATTACTTTGCTGCAACTAAACACACTCGAAACGTACACGAAAATTCGTACAGACTACCGCTAATGAATTTAGTCTAAATCCCGAAACAAATTGACTTTGTGACCCGATTATTATGTATAAGTGCCATGTCACACTAGTGAATCTGCCCCTGGTGACAAAACAGGATTGCTATGCAGAGCAAGACCGTATGAGAGTAAATACTTCCCTAGGTCTGCTCCTTTGGTGTCCGAATGAGTGAGACATATCTCCATTGCTGATAAAAAAAAAACCCTCCAAAATGACATTCGCCATTGACGGATTACTCATCCTCCCAGTGAGGAAGCAGCATGTGAAACCAGGTAAATATTTTCTGCAAAGCAATCCTGTCACTGGCAAGTTGACATTGACATGATCACTAGTGTGACATGACTCTTAGAAACCACCCCCTTAACTGAGAAATGTAATATAATCGCTCACAAAAAAATACATTACTTGCTAATTTTTTTGGTCAAACATTAGGCTGACCTCACAAAGCTATCACACTAGAATGAAGATCTTTCTTTTAACCAAGGGATCCTTTTGGACCTGTGTCTATTGGCTTATATTTGATATAAACGTGTTTTGCATTTCCATACAAGTGTATGGAGGTGCAAAACCCCCTTGGAACAGGTCAAATATGGGTCAGAAGGAATGCAACTGCAGGTAAAATGCACCTGTCTCAGAAGCATCTCAATCTGATGCAATCAACACATGCACAAAGCCTGTTGACACAGGACTTTACCCGCGTGTTAATACATTTGTGAATTGAGATCAATCTGTTTTAAATTCTCTAAAGGTTTTATTAAGGTATTGTGTGTGTCAAAGATAGTTTTCAAAAATCCTTTTGAAGGGTTTTTACCACTTAAAATATAATTAGCTGGTGACTGGGGTTCATTATGAGGATCTATCAGGTGTTTGTTGAGAAGAACAAAACAGAGAGCCATTTGCTTAAAAGGTAACTTAATTTATTATGAGAAAGTTGTTTATTTATGGGAAATAAATTCTTGCCAAGTTTATATGCCTATTGCAAGCATAAAACAGCAATTACACTCCTATGCAATTAATTTGTATGGGACATTTTGATTGTGTATGTACCTTTTGGTAAGAAAATTATCATATGTTAAAAAAGTTACAACTTAGTAAATTGACCCAATAAACCCTAAATAAACTTACCATATTGGTAGGGCCGTGCTCCATGTCTTCTGCCTGCAGGAGCTAAATTGGATGTCAAAACATTTCGTGGTCTGTATGAGTTTCGTGGGTCATCTCCAGCCATTCTCTGCACCACAGGAGGGGACCCTATTGGATTGGCATTTGTTGGTGTCTCCCTGGAAATGTCATTAGTGCTCACAGTATTCATTTGTCTCTGCGTGGAGATGGCTTTCTGTATCGCATTAGTATTTTGAGTGATATCAGTCCTCTTCGATACATCATTCTTTATGGTGACAGGACTCAACTGTGTCATGTTAATCCTTGGAGTGACAGGAGTCCGATGTGTAATGTCATTCCTCTGGGTGACAAGCTTCTGCTGTGTAGCATCATTTTTCTGAGTTATAGCACTATGAAGTGGTATATTATTCCTCAGTAGAACATCACTGACCACTGTAGGGATTCTCTGGGTCACTTTGTTCGGCTGTGGAGGAGTTATATAATTTCTTTGAGATGCTGACTGTGGAGTAGCTTCACTTGTTTGCATCGCACTGCTCTGCATATATAATCTGTGCATACCTTCATTTCTCTGTGTGCTGGCTGTTTCTGTGTGCGTGAAGAAGTGAGCTGAAGCCTGTGTTTCACCTTTAAATATTGTAGGGTGCACTTGTGTAATATCATTTCTCTGGGATGTCTCTTGCTGAATTCCCTTGGTGCTGTGGGTAGAAAACCTATGTTCTTTGTTGCTTGTGTAAATTCTCAAAGCAGTATCACTCCTTTGGGTGGGAGCTGGACTGAGGTGAAGTTGTTCTTTAACTTGACTTGGTCTACTATTACTGATTAAATCAGCAGTTTGAGATCCTGCAGGTTTCCTAGGTTTAACAGGGTCATGTATTTCAGAAATGTGGAAAGTACCAGCTCTGTGGTCAGAACCTGAGCTCTGTAGGCTAAAAACTCGTCCATTACTTTCCCATCGAAATCTGCGACGCCAGGAACCTCTAGGGCCATCAAGCTGTGCTCCACGTGACATGAGCAGTAAAAGGAAAGGGATGAAGATGAGAGGAGGCATTACTCTAAGTAGACTTCTACAGACACTGTAGATTTAATGTTATTCAAGTTTTGAACACTTATCTGTCGCAAATTGTAGCTGGACGTCCACTCTTCCTATTTCCCCTTCTCTTGAATAATGAATATCTTGGCTCATAAGGTTTATATCGCTGTCATTTGCATCAGGCAAGGTAGTAAGTTGTCTTGAAATCCTGAACTATTTGTCACTTGTAATTCGAGTTTCAAATGACCGCAAGTCTCTTCATGGTGGTGACTCTTGTTAGTTGTAGGGAATCTTTTTCACATTATAAACTCTTTTCTCTTGTGAATCAAAGGTTCAGTTCTCTCCTCTCTGAAATTAGTTTCCACCTCCTCCTCCACCGATGACACCTCCTTTTTCAAACTGAGCCTTGCATACTTTGTTTATGTGTGTCTCACCTCTTTCAGGTCTCTCTGTACAAACATAACACCCACACAATAAGAATTCCATTCTTGGATTTGTAAAATGTTTTCAGAGGGAAAGCATTTGTACTTTGTTCAACTTATTCTAATTTTTACTGTTTCCCATTAAATGGTCTAATAATCTCACAAATATTATTATATTTATTATTTTAGCTTATATTCATTCTTTGATGGATTGGCTACCTATAAGTTCAGCAATTTTGAGTAGACTAGTGGATATCCGAAAATCATTATGTAAAGATCATAGGTTTAAAAAATTGGTAAAATGTTTAAAGCTTTTTTCAAGATTTTTAAACTACCGAACGTAGTTATCACAGAAGTAGTGCATCAGTTGTCCTACTGTATTAGTGTAAGGCTGTCTATACTCTGGCAGAAATATAAATTCCAACTCCCATTAGAGATTTGTACTGGTTTTGGTAAAAATATTATATATAATACTTAGTTTAAAGTGTATGTAAAGCCAAAACCAAACGTTTAATATAGGGAAGCACCAATAACGGTTTTACGCTATCAAGTACAAGTAGCAATATTTTTTTTGGTACTCGCCAATACCGAATACTGATACTGGAAGTCCCATTAAAGAAGCCGGGCGGCATGTAATGACTCACTGCCCGGCTTCATGATTAGCAATGGAGCCGGCTTTCTGGCCAATCAGGAAGCCGGGAGGCAAGTCATTACATGCCACCCTGCTTCCTGATTGGCCGGGAAGTCGGCTCCATGCTCCCTCACCACCAAGTGATGAGGGAGCATGGAGCTGGCCTCCCTGCCAATCAGGTAGCCGGGCAGCGTGTAATGACTCGCTGCCCTGCTTCCTGGTTGGTCGGGAAGCTGGCCAATCAGGAAGCCGTGCGCCGTGTAATGACACGGCGGCCGACTTTCTGATTGACAGGAAGCTGGCTTCATGCTCCCTCATTACCTCATGATTACATGGCGCCTAGCTTCCTGATTGGCCAGCAAGCCGGCTCCATGCTTTCTCGTCACCTAGTGATGAGAAGCATGGAGACGGCTTTCCTGCTAATCGGGAAGCCGGGTGGCGAGCCTTTACACGCTGCCTGGCTTCCTTAATTGGACTTACGGTATCGGTATTCGGTATCGGTGAGTACCGGGAAAAAATATCTGCACTCGTACACGATACCGAAAGACCGGTATCAGTGCATCCCTACTACTAACAAGCAAATTCAGACTTTTTGTCGAATAATGAATAACTAAGCCCTCATCTACTTTACTAACCACTCCCACTGACATGTGCAGAGAGCAGTGACACATGACTGTCACAGGACTGAGGTGTTTTTTACATGCAGGCTCTGACTGAATACCTTAATTTCACCTTTTCTAAGCTGTACAAAGGACAAGATGGCAGTGCCCATTAGGGAAAAAATTGGGTCTTGGGAACAAAATTAGTTTTTTTTTCATTGATTATGTGGTTGTATGTTGTTTATGTAGCACTAGCCCTGCAGGAGCTGCTGGATTTGAAAGTTTCAAGTAATGACTCCCGTTGCAACCCAACAATACACTGACACAGCAATGGCAATATTGGACTTTGTAAAAACAGCAATAAGAGAAAAGTTGTTGGTTGAACAGGTTTGCAATAATACATGCAGTAGTTCAATAACACAATAATACAATGAAGTGAGCAAAACTGATGTTGGTTATCTTTCCACCTGTTAGAGGCCCTGCCTAAAACACTCTAGGGGATAATGACACTGCAAGTAATAATCAAGGGAGGCACTGGACTAAGGGGCCTAATGACACTTTAATAGAAGTTAGTTAACCACTGACCAGTAAGTAAATCTGCCACAAAGTCTGCCAGTGGTGGAGCCCTTAACTTGAAATGGTGGATTGCTCAACCGGCAAATGATGGTATTTGTAATCTAAAAGGGTAAGTATGTCTTCACAAAAGGACCATACACAACTGACAGTGAAAGGGCGGGATGGTCTATTTAAATAAAGCTCAGCCAGAGGCTGCATACTGATATCCACACGTTGTCTTCTTGGATACAGTCTGTCCTCTGATGGCTGCTCCTGCAGACTGGGCCTCTAGCAAGTAGGTATGGATCAGTGAATGAGAGGTAGGCTACTCTGACAAAGGACAGCACTGTCTCTCTAGGTATTTGCTTCAGGTTTGATTTGACCATGAGTTTGCAATCATTCGAAGTTTGAGAAAATGGCAAGCTATTGTGATCATTTGCCACCTCAGCAGCCAATTAGCAATCATGGGCCACTGAACTGTGGTTAGGTGGCTTATAAGGGCCAATTGTGGAGATTTTCTTATGTGGCATTCGTCTCCCTATAAAAGTGAGGGTTTGCAGCAGGCTTTGTTTAATGTATGTTAGAGGCGGCATGGTGTGGTTAGGGAAAGCTCATAGACTGCAGGGAAAGTTAGGTGATGATGCTAATCAGTGGCGGACCTAAGGAACAAAGGGCCCTGGTGCAATATTTTTATCCCACTCAAGGGGGGGTGGGAGCGGATCTCACTGGCCCCCCAACCCCCCCGGTGGTCTCTGCACCAGAGGAGCTTACACTCCCCCACAGACTCACACTATTATTATACTTTTATATGGCTCTGACATATACTGCAGTGCTGTACAGAGAACACTGAGCCAGTTATATTAACTTCTGTACAGAGGATCTAACATTCTAATGCAGAATGGCACCGGCTGTAGGACCCCTGACCGAGCCCAACAGGGACAGTTAGATTCTGGTGGTCATTGCTAAAAATGCCACAGACACATTGTTTTGCACACTCCTGCAGATTTCTGGTGAAATCTTGTTCTGTTATTCCAAGGAGCTATACCTTTTTATGTTTGCCATCAGTTTGTATATATGCCATCAACATCAGCTGCATGACTACTATACTCCCCTTGTTTTATTTTTTTGTTTCTTTCAGATATGTTAAGAAAATGAAAGAATCGGAAAAAAAAGTATGATTTCTTTTTAAATACACTGTACTGTTGAATTTATTTATTTATTTTTAAAAGCTGGCTGGTGTGAGTGCTGTTCAAAATGTGTCCTAGAGAAAATGCTTAAACAATGGAGTCAAACACAATATGTATGCCCCTTTTCTTTAAAATAATATACTATAATTGTGATTTCTTTCTTAAAACCTCCACGATCCCCCTCTCTCAAGGCCTACTAAAGCTGCTTATTTGGTCTGACTCAAGTCAATATTTGTCTCTCAGCCCTATCAAAGGTTATGTTTCAGCCCATTCTTTCTTGTTTCAGAGAAGTAAGAACATTTTCTTTTACATTTAAAAAAGGGCAGCACACAATGAGGAGGTTTGCCTGTGTTATGAACCAACTGGAAGTGGCATAACCAACGCTACCTCATGGGAGTACTGCCAGCCGGCAGGTGACCTTTGGTTTTCCCCTTGCAGCTATGCCTCCACTGCAGTGGAAAAAAAAGCCACCAGATTAAATATATATAATAACAGCTATGGCAAAGGGGTAGGGGAGGAAATAGGGGATGCTTTGGAGCAACCTCTGTTCCGCAGAATTGTGCGATGATGTGTCACACACAAAGGGCAGCTTTGCTAGTTTCAGCACAGGTAGAAAACCAAGGCCACACTACCCCAGAGTGGGGCACTATGTGTTCCCACTTGGATGGTGGCAGTAGACCCCATTTTCCTTTTGTATGTGGAGAGGGGAAATGTCCCCTGGAGGGGCCCAAAATCTCTTCCTACTCACCATCAGTACTACAATCCTACTCCTTTTCTTTACCATTGACACACCACTCCTCCTCCTTCCCATATTCCTGCTGCCTCTGCCTCACAAGGATGAGGGTGGTAGGCAAAGGATTCTGCTGGTCCTGAGACAGAAGGAAGGCCTCCTCAGCATCTTGGTACTGTGCCTCCACTGCCTGTTTTTTTTTTACCATGCAGTGTGAACACCAGAGGGATCATGCTACAAGTTCCTACATCATCATGGCTCAGCTTTCCAGTCACCTCTTTGAAAGACGTTGCACGCTTCCTGAATCAGGAGCCGGTGATGTGATGAAAACAAACCCAGCTCCCCAGAAGTGTTTTGGTGCACTTTTTACTCTCACCAGTCAATTCATGCCTATTACTGCTGGTTAAAAAAATCAGGTGTTGCATCCAAAACTACAAAAAAATTTTATAATAATTTATCAGAAAGGGGTGTTGCTGTTGCTATAATAAAGTAAAGCAATACTGTAAAAATAAAAAAAAATGTATACACATTTAAATGATATGATACCAGCAAGTAGTGTCACTGGTGCCGTTAGAATCACACTGTTTCATATCTCCCAGGCCTGTAATTAACCACCTGCTGTCAGCCCGTTGTAATTAAACAGCCAGACAGAGGCTTCTTGGATGTGGGTGGGCGTTTTCAACGCTCATGCACGCCGCTAATCTGCTTGAAACGCGTGTAATCTGCTTGAAATGTAAACAGCCAGCGATGACTGTTTACATACAGGCATTCCAGCGATTGTAGATGTCGAGTTCTAGCAATCTCGAGCTCCGCTGTACCCGATGCGGGCCCGGGACTGGCACAGCAGCTCTGTGACCGGAGATCAAAAGGAGACCTGTAGGTCTCTGCTTCATC